TATAAAATTGTAGATAAAAGCCATGTACATAGAAGTGAATCCTGTTGATCCCATTATAAGTAAGCTAGATTCTCAATTTCGAGATCTCTGTTTGATTCATTCAAAAAACAAAGAGGAATAGTTGGATTTACCACAAAAAAGTGCAGTTTATGGCCACGAATTACACCTTCAACTTGTTGTCGCCATCTAAGAAAATTATCAGCATCTAGTTTGACAGAAAATTGATGAGAAAAGGTAGTCACAAGGCGCGAAAAACCTTTAGAAAGTGAGGATTCAGGGGTGGAAGCCATGGATCAAACTCTTGATACCATGATAGAATTGGTAGAAACTGAGAGGAAGAAATAGAAACCGAAAAGCTTTCTGAACTAAATCTGTAATTTGTATTTTTATTCATATTTAATACAAAGAGAAGAGAGGTATTTAAAGTTACACTCTCAATACAATAGAAGGTTGAACAAAATGCTGAGTAAGTAAAACTAACTCAGATTCTAATAAGCACATGAGCTAATACATCAACAAAAAGCTGAGTCAACATAATTGACTCAAGTTAAGTAAACATATGAGCTAATACAATGCAGCTATAATACATCAAAAGCTAACAAAAGTTATTTACTAACAAGGGATAATTCATGACAAAGGAATTTTGGAGATAGTTAAAGAAACAAACGACAAGTACAAGTCCAACGACTGACATTACCAACCATATGAAAATGTCAGAGATTATTTGAACTTTGAGCACACACCCCTTAATGTCTCCGAGTGAAAATTATTGAAAAATGTCAACTCCACCAAGTTTTTGTCTTTTTCAAAATATAGGATTGAGTATAAGAGGAGGGATAATTAAACTATCAAAGATTTTTTTTTTTCAAAAAAAAAACTTATACAACTAATTGATTAAGAATTAAATAGTCAATCAAACAATATTGCAAGAAACATTACAAAAATAAGAAAAAGATTATAAAAATAATAGTAAAGAGAGTGAGATAAAAAAAAATGCACATAAAATTTATACTGATTCAATCTTGAACAACAATTACATCTAATTCTTAGTTATATCAGCTACGATTCCACCACACAATTAGAGTTTTATAATAAATAAAAACAACAATCTACTCAAGAAATGTATTCTTGAACACTATAAGAAATTTACTTCAAAAACTAGTGACACGCTATCACAATCACAAATTCTTGACGCATTATGCAGAAAGAAAGATTCAATATAGATTCTAAAATAGAATGACATAACCCTTTTATTTGGGACATCTACAATTACAATTAAAGACAGAAAAATCAGATGAAGTTCAAAGTTTTTCCTTCACACAAATGAATGATCTTGAATTTCGATCAAGAAAATGTTAAATAATGTTTCTCAAACACAATAATATTCCTGTCTCAAATGTAAGAAATTATATATGAAAGATTTATTCAAATCGTGTGTCTAAAGATTTAGAAATGTGAGAGTTACATAGTTTTCAACTAACAAGTTTGAAAACATTAAAACATAATATCAAAATGCTCTTTGAAAACATAAAAAAGTTTTAACTAATTCAAATAAATTTAATCAATTAAGACAAAATGGTTTGAAAATCACACTAAAAGTCAATGAAGTTATAATTTATTAAAAAATATTTTAATCCAAGTTTGAAAATTACTCTTAAAGTCTAAAAAGTTTTAATATGTTAAAAATCATTTTAACAAATTAGTTAACAAATTCTTAAAAAATTACAACATTTCCATCGATTAAAAACATGTTTTATCATATTTAACCGAGAACCTCCAAACTAATTTTATGGCTTAAGTAATTTTAATCAATTAAAACGATTATTTAATCCATGAAAATGTTTTTAACAAATTTAAGCAATCTTTTAACATAATAAAAATTTCCTATTACTAAGATAATTTTAACATCATTTCTAAGAGGCTTTCAAATGATTATATAGGATCAAACAATTTAGGAGAAACTTATTTTATATTTCAAGTTCTATTTAGAAAAATCTTCAACAGTCTTTCTCAAAGAAGTCATACAAACAAATGGGTCCAAATCAAGATGCATGGTGCAAGTTCCACTAAGCTCAAGGCCATGACATAGAGAAATGTTTTTCTCTCATTCATCAATTTGAAAAGCTAATAGGAGAGGGTACTTCAGTCATGTACATAAAAATATTGAAAAAGAGGGAACTCACAACAGTGAACAACCATGAGAAAGCTCAAACATGGAACTCCAATTTTAGGATATTTCAATAAAGTAACAAGTTGGTATGCAATAGGTGGATGTAAGAGTTCAGCCAAAAAGTGATTTGGTGTTATACTAACCTCGAAACCACCTTTGATTTGGTGTTATCAAAAGATGTTGCTAGTGGTAGATCTTGACCAATAATTTTAGATGATCAAATAATATATTATTAATAAATAATAAATAAATATAAAAAAGTATAAAAATATCAACATGCGAGAGATTAAATTTATAAATATATAAATAAATATATTTAATAATCATTAAATTTGATAATTAAAATCATAAATATATATAAGTTATAAAATTTTGGGATTCATGACCCCTTCACCTTCTAAGAAGTTCATTCACTTGATGTCACAATATGATAATATATTTTAGGAATTAAGTACCACAATCATAAATGTCGTATAATTTACGAGTTACGATATTTGTGTGAGTCTAGAAATTAAGTGACAAATACTATAAATAAACATTTCGAGTCTTTGTCTAACATGGAAATATATGGAGTTTAAAAATTTTATCATTCTGCTAAATAAAAAATATATGTTCTTCTTTTTCAATTTAAAAATTATGAAGATGCTAAAATCATTATTCACGACTATTTTCTAAGGATATAATTATAGTTATCATATGATGTAGATTTTTTATATAAATGTTAAATATAAAGGGAAATTGGCAAACATAGGATAGAAAGAAAATAAAAGATTTAGATTTTGTTTGTTTGTTTTTTAAATAGATTTTAATTTTTTTAGTTTTTTAAAAATTAAAAAATCATTTATAATTATTATGTTAATTTTTTTTCTCTTTATGTTTCAAAAAATTTAAAATTTAAAACTCAAAACTGATAAATTGTATTTTCCTTTTATTTGTTCTGTTTTCATTAATAGATATAACGTTTTTATTAATAATTATATTAGATTATTTAGTTCTATTATTATAAAATTATCAAAATATATTTTTTTATTTTTGTTATGGTTTTTTCATCGTCAAATATATTATTATTATTAAATAATTTTTAAAATTAGAGTAATCAAATAATTTTTTTAAAATACATTTTATAAATTAATTTCTAAAATTATGTTTAAAATTTTAAAAACAAAATTAAATTAAAAAAATTCTTATTAGAAATTAAATTAAAAAAAATTCTTATTATTAGTTATTTTTAACCCTACCATATATAATTATAATTTTACAGAGAACGGCTATGGTAAAGTGCATTTTTCTTTTATAGATATGAATATAAAAGGAAACGGCCAACATATACAAGGATGAAAGAAAATAGATTACTTGTGTTTTGTTTGGTTGTGATGAGAAACAACAGGGTAATAAAATATAAATAAATTGGTAGAATAAAATTTTAATAGTATACTTCGTTGAAGAAAATATGAAAAAGTGAAATAAAAAGAAAATAATATATGAGAAATATGTATAATATTTTTTTAAGTTATCATTTCCTCTCTTTTTTTCTCTAATTTATTTAAAAATATGTCAACATGTGAAATATATCAATATGTCAGATGTAAAAATAGCATATGTTCCGAGTTGTTCCAGGTGTAATTGTCATGCACACAAAAACAAAACATAGCAGTTTGTCTGCTACCACCATGATGCATGTGTGAGTCAGCAATCAACATCGTCACCGATTGCTATTTTCTCACGTATCTTCCTCTTTTGGTTTTAAGCAAAGTTTTAATTGTGCTCTTAGTTCTAGTTTCAATTCTATCCGAGATTCTTGTAATTTTTTTATTTTATTTTTAAGATCAACCCAAATTGATTTTTCATCAACTTAATTACTTTTATTATAATTTAATAAATACATTTATTGATTAAATTATTTCAACTTTTTCCTTAGAACCTTGATATACACATCATAACATTCTTCAGAATTTATAAAACTTGCAAAAATTGCTTCTAAACCTTGAATAATTTGTTAAAATGTTAGGATCGAAAATTATATTTTAAAAGGAAAATTTAATGAAAAAAAAATAGCTCAAACAAATTAGGAAGAAGCAAATTACGTACACATATACACCAAATTCATAGAGATTAAAAACGTAATCAAATTTACCTTTCGAAATTAATCCAACGCTTAACATGTATATATGTATATAATAAAAAATTATAGCCATAATATATACACACACGTGCGTATATCTTCTTCTTTTCTTTTTCTGAAACGTAGTAATATTTTGTTAATGATATATATAGTTAGAACAATTACAATCCAAACGCGTAAGATGTGACCCCATGTTAGTACGTGGAGATTCATTTGAAGGTTTTGATAGTATGTAAATGAGTGACGTTATAGTGACGAAGTGGGAGCAAAAATCTAAAAGAACAACTTTGTATTTTTAACGACACCTTCTATTATGCCGAATTTAGCTCTGTAATTTGAAAAAGTTGTTTTTGCGTTTAATTTCCAGTGAAAACATTGCAACTCCTGAACCCAGATAACTGCGACAAATGTAAAACACCAGAAGAAGATGGTACCATAGAAGAAATGAAAGTATCAAATAATTGATATTTCTTATTGATATATAGACGATGAAACGGTACAACGAAGGCAAGTACACCTTACAATAATCACAAATTCACAGCATAATTTTGTAATAATAACTAAATATACATATAAATATCCACACCAGACTCGATGATTCAACACGAATTGAAAAAGGGTTCGATGTTCCACGACGTTATTCTTCTCTCTTCACCGATCAATACTATATATTTTTCGATATGTTGATGTCAAAGTCATGCATGAAGTTTAAGGGCACTTGCGTCTGCCACCACGAGTGGTTAAGGTAGCATAGCAGGGACACGCTTCTTGGTTTCCAGCAGTACCAGGAGGTACACAGTTGCAGCGTCTGCAACAAGTTCCACACGCCCTTTGGCAGAGACGTGGACGAGATGATAAACGGCACCTCGCACCGCATGCTCCATTACAGTCTGAAATTTATTTACACCCATCAAAATATTTATAATATATATACCCAACCCAACTTCAAAATTGTATATATATATATATGAAGGTTTCATTAGTATATATATGTTTACATACCTATCTGCTGAAGAAGAGAAGTCTGCGTTTGTGCATGCACCTGCAGTTACTCAAAACCATGTATAAATTAGTTAGTAGAGCCTATAGTGTTGAAAGAAAATAAGAAAAGCAACCTAACTTGGTTCATATCGATCATACCGATGATTGATGAGCATCAACGAGATGAAGAAGGAGAAGAGAGGCAAGAAGGGAAGCAAGTATGAGCTTGGAAAGAGCCATGATGGGGTCTAAGTGAAGAAGTGTGTGAATTGATATTGGAATGAGAAGCATGAATAGGAGGAGGGTATTTATATAGTTGTGTGAGGAATGAAGAAAAGGTGGTAAATATTTAAGTTGGGTAGAATAATAATAATAATAATAATAATAAAATGTGGGAATATGTAAGTGGGGCATGGTGATGTGGTGGAGCATACGCGGAAGAGAAGTTGGTGTTGAGTTAGTGAGTGGTGAGGGAAATCTGGTAACGAAAACTCAAAAGGGGTCTTGGAAAGCATCGAGAACCAAAGATGGTTTTCTTTATTTCTGTGTCTCCAGTTCAACGCATAGTTATTGTCTAACCCTAAAAAAGTTTATATTAACTTTCATGAAAAGTTATTTACCCCAAGTTGGTCACCAATTGTAAAATTATGCAAAACGAGTTTTTTGGTGAGTCTTGTCCCATGGTTTGGTTGTAACCGGTGCGGGTGAAGTATGATATGTCATTTTAAGAAATCTTTTTTATAAATTTGGCGGCTTATGGTTTAGGTCAAACCATGTGAACCAAAGGCAACGTTTAATTAGTGGTTTTCTAGGTTTAATGTCGTATTTTACTTATTAATAATGAATTCTTATAATGTCATATTTTACTTAGAAACTACTACTAAAGGGTACTCTTAATTATAACTATGATTCCATTAATAATGGATTTTTAATCCGCATAGTATACTCAATTTAATCGTTATTAATTGTGATGGCTACTTTAAATAGTATATTAATTATTATTATCATCTAATAATGATGTAACATTGCATGATAATTTATGTCTATAGCTAGGTTGCATTACTGGGGAGGGGAAAATTGGATGAATATACGAAGGGTTTAAATTGGTTTTCGTTTAGAGAGAAGACTAGAAGTGGTGAATTATTATTATTATTCCAAGAGCCAAAAAATGTGTAATCGAAGTGGGTTTGGGTTTGATAGATGGTGATGTGAGGAATTGGATGCATGTATATAAAAAGTGTGTGGAGAAGGAAGAGGAAGTAACTATTTGGGGCAAAGTAGGAAAAGGATTGCTGAACCCAACCTTGCCAGCTGTATGCGGCGCCAACACAGCTGGATTATGCTAAAAAAAAATTAAAAAAAATAAAATAAAAACTATTATCATCGTTTTATTATATTTTTATGCTGCTTCCTACATGGTTCATGTTTATCCTAATACATTTAATTGATTATCATGATAGTACAACTCACACCAAACTCAAGTTTTAAAATATTAATTTAAGTTCAACACAATCTTACATAACCTATAAACAATTTCTCGTATGGTGGAAATTATTCTTCATTTATATATATATTGATAGACTATTCTTTTATAAATTTGAAATTAATTCTAACATTATTTTAAAATATTTTGTTTAAACCTAAATAAATTAGATAAAATTGTTTTCTAATGTAAAAATAATTTTATTCCTATATTTTGTCTTAGAAATAAACACGGCCGAAAATTACAGGGATTAATTGGTTGTATAAGAAAAATAAGAATATTTTAGATTGTGATAATCGAAAATTAATTATCAGCAATTAATTACCCCACCACAAAAATGGTGAATTAGAAATGGAATTGGCAATCATATAAAGGTGAACTAATAAATTAGAAAAAAAGAGTATGCAAAAGAAAAAGAGAGGAAAAAAAAAAGAATAATACATCGCAAAAGAGAAAATAGTGTCTTGTAAAGTCCATTTCTTTACTAAATATATGCATAGCCAATCATTTGAATTTCTTAAAGAATTTTTAAGAGGATTGGAGGTGAAGCAAAATTTAGCATACAATTTGCACAAGATTAGAGATCAATAACTTTTTCTTTTGGCAAAGGGCTACACTTATAACTTTGAGGCACAATTATGAAGTTCTTGGACATGAAACCTTAGTTGAGTATCTACAAGAATAATCTACTTTTATATTATGAATTAAAATATATAATTTGAGAGAATGGTCTCAATTGGGTATTCTTAATTTCTTTCTTTGAATTTTATTTTATTTTATTTCTTTCACATTATTTCTTTAAAAGTAGTCAATTTCTCCCTCAATTATTTTTAACTACCATCATCATATCATGATATGTATACATGATTTGACTACCTTTCATTTTATTTTGAATTGACATGGTTCTATAGTTTTGTAATAAAATGTTTGAGGTAAGCGAAGTTTCATTTATTTATTTATTTGAGAATCAATATTTTTATAAATAAATAAATTACATTGGTAAGAGAAACTCTAGAAATATTTTTAAATAATTTCAATTTAAAGAGTAATATGATATTTTTTACCAAAAAAACTTTAATTATTTAACACAGTGATTTAATAACAATAACATGATATTTTTATGGTAGTAAAAAAAGTTACTAAAAATTTTCATTTTCATATTCCTGTACAAATAATTTTCTGCAAGACAAAGATAAAAACATTATCTTTTCAAAATTAAATCAATTATAAAAACATACATGTTTTATGTTAATGTTTGGCCAATTGATACGTGAGTGAAAAGACTACCCTTCTACGTTTGCATTGATTTATTTCTCAAAAAAATGTCATGATACTTTAACAAAAAATTTTAAGTTAACATGTCAAACAAATTTTTTTAAATAATTTAAAGTTTTTTTTTAATAATTTTATATAAGCTGTCATTAAATTAATACTTTCAATTAGTTTTTTTTATAATTTTTAAATAAATAAATAATCATTCATATTAATTTTTATTTAATAATTTTTAATTTCTAATCAAAGTCATTTTATTAACTCAGAGTATTATTTAATTATTCTCTTTTTAATTATTTCACATCAATCAAATCTAATACAAATTTCATAATTTACGTACTTGTACTTTTAGTCAAAGTAAAAATATTGTTATGGTGTCTTATTAAAAGATTAATTTGAAAAAGTGAAAAATAATATATTTAAGTGAAACGAAAAAGGAAGGTGATATTGTTTAAATTAAAAGAAAATAAAAAAATTGTAAAAAAATAATAAAAAATGTATAAAAATTTATAAAGTGATTTGATTGATATGAATTATAAAAAATAAAAATAATCAAACTATCATTAAATAAAATTTATTATGATTATTAATATAATTTAAAATATTATAATTATTTAAACTATTTTTTATTTGAATTATTAATATGATTATTATTATTAAAATAATTATTAGTATTATTATTAATACAATAATAATTATTATTTATATATTTATTATTATAAATATTATTATTATAATTAAAAAAATTATAATTATTTAAAATATTTTTTATTTTAATTATTAATATGATTATTATTATTATTATTATTATTACTATTATTTATATACCATATATAATATAATTCATGAGTTTCTTCTCATAAATTTGAAGATAATTTTTTTTATAAACTCAAATTTTCTGCATAAAAAATCAACTTTCACTATAAATTTGCATATCCAAACATAGACTTAATTGTCTCATCACCTTTTATACTTTCTACCGCCTTATTAATGTTATGAATTAAGAAATAAGGATAATTTTTCGACCATAAACAATAAAAAGTTGCTTATTTAATAACTTTAGCAACAACATTAGACAAGCAACACAACAACAAAAGGAAAAAACAAGTTATTCAATATTTCTTTTTCTTTTCGGTAAGATAAGATGAAATAAAGAAAATAAGATCAAAATTATAATTTTATGAGTAAAAATATATTAGATTAATTGAAATTTTAGCATAAGAATTTTTTTATTTTGTAGTAGACACTTTCTTTCCTTTTTTTAAAATTTGTTGCCTTCTTTTACAATATGATTGAAAAAAAAAACGGAAAAAAATAATAATAAAATATGTATAGCTTAACAAATAAATATAAGATGATAAAATATAACAAAAAATATAAAAAAATTCACACAAAATTTCAATATTTTTTAGATTACAAGTAAATAAAAGATAGATAATACCTAACCGCAACTTTTTAAAAGACCTACAAATCACAAATTTTAAAAGACCTACAAATATTTTAAAAGATATTTAAACTTATTATCACAAATTTAAAAACAAAAATAATTATTTAACTTAATCACTCATGAAACTCCAACCCATAAATATATCTTTTCTTTTTTCAAAATGAAACGTATATATATAATTTGATTGGAAAATAAAAACACTAATAGAAGAAAAATATGAGTAGAGTTAAAAATATAAGGATGATAAAATATAAGAAAGAAAGAAAAAAAAACTTAAAAAAATATGTTAATTTTTAATTTACTTTACTGGACAATAAGGGATAAAAAGAATATATGCTAATTAAGAAAATTTTATTAAGAAAGGGTTTCTTAATTGTGATGTACCATAAAACAAAAAATAAAGACTAATATATCATAATGAGAACACTCAATCTGATTATTAATACTCTATCTATTTCAAAATATATATAATTTTGTTTTTAAATATATAAAATCTGTAAAGTTTAATATTACATCAATTATACCCCTATCTTTTAATTATATTTATTATTAAAAGAAAAAGATAACAAGTTACTTAATATTTTGTTTAGAGAATATTAAGATAATACGATATTAATAAAAAATACTAATAATTTTATTAAAAAATGACTAGAATTAATGCTTATATTGATATGTGCAGTCAAGTCTTAAACTACTTATATTATGAAATAGAAGAAATAGGTAAATTTTGTCTTAAAATTTCCAAAAAGTGCTTATTTATAGGCTAAGCTAAACTCTCTTTGAAAAAAAAATCGCAATAATAATCTCACTAATTATTTACCTATCATATAATAACTCATTAAATATTATTAATGGTTATAATGACTCATTGAATCTCATTAATGGTTATAATTACTAATTATATTTGAAAACATGTCTAAATTTATTTTCCCAAAATTAAAAAGGAAAATTATTTAACTCAATCGCTAATTGAACTCAAACACATGAATATCTAATGTATTTTGGATTTTGTTTATGTTATATTTTACCTAAAATCTTCCTCAACTAGTAAAATTTTAGTTCATTCTACGCTAATTGGTTGAATTTTTATTATTTTTTAAAAACTATTAAATATAATATAAACTTTTCATTCATTTATTTTCATTTTCTCTTCTGTATTTAATTCAAACAATTTAGTTTTTAACTTTATTTTTCTCAAAAAAAAATTTCTACTCTCTCAAATTAAAGCATAAAACCACTTATATACATTTACTACATTTAAGCCATGTGTGAATTCAGATGTAAAAAGACATGAAAAAACGTAAAAATTACTTTGTTTGTTTCCACTTTTCACACATAAAATAGACATTCAACTTATAAAAATTTCTTGCAATTATGAAAAGAAAGTCATAAAGTTAAAAAAGATAATAAAGTAGGATTCAATAATGTTATAATTTTTATTATAATAATAATTTTTATTCTTTTATTACAATGATAATTTGAAAATTTATTAAATTAATAAATGAAATTATTAATAAAAAAAAGTATTTTACTTTTGATATTATTTCTTCTAATTTAAATAAATTCATTTTTCACTTTTCTTTCTACTCTCATTTTCCATCACCAATCTAAACAAGCCAGTAGGTCAATATTAACAAGTTCATAAATGCCAAATAATATAGTCGGGCTAACATATAAGTATAATAAAAAAATTAAGATAATACAGGTTTAAATATTTTAAATAATTAATTAAGTATTTTAATATTCAAATTATTTTTCACATATTTTAAATTTTTACATATTTGACCCATTTATTAATAAATATTGAGACGCGTTAATGCATGTATAATAAATTCATAAAATACATTGAAATTTTGAAAAAATATCATAGAAAATGTTTACAAAAATAGATGTTGAAATATGTAAAATAGTGATAACTAATTGATAAAATGTGGTTAAATATATTAAAAGTAAGGTCACATATATGTTGCAATTACAAAAGCAACTCTTTTGCAATTGCCTCCCCTACACGGTTGACTCAATTAATTTGGTTGACCTAATTTTCCTCCATTAAGATTAGGTAGTAAACTTGTGTAGTTATCCAAATTCAGGAATCTGAAAAAAAAGAAGTGAATTTTAAAGTTAGGATTTTTAATTTAATTATAATAGTGCTGAAGAAAGCCGAAGAACAAGTTTTCTCAAGATAAGGGAAAGGCGAAGGTGACAGGGACAGGGACAGGGACAGGGACAAACTCACACAGCTGTTTCATCAACATAATTTGTCCATCATCAAACTGAGGATATTTTCATTATTTATTAATTTTAAAAAATATTTATTTGTTATTAAAATACGATAAAAAAATACACAAAAACTTTGTTTTATTGCTATCATTTAATGTGAATAGAATAATGTCAGTTTTTTTTCTCTACACTGTTTCATTAATATTAATACCAAAGTTATTTAATTAACTTAGAAATTTTTTATATAAAATTTAATTTATAATCTGACGTTTTATAAATCAAATTATTTTAAAATAATCATGCTTCATTTTTATCATATATATATATATATATATATATATATATAAATCTTGGTCAAATAAACTATAATCAAACAAAATTATTTAATTATAAAATGAAACAGATAAAATTTATAACAGGTCACAAATAAAAGGAACTTAAATGATGGCTTGAAAACTCAAATAATCATTAGACAACTTTAAATAATCATTAGAGAAATGATGGCTTGAAAATTGAACCCTAAGTTAATTCTATTTTGGTTTAATTTTATGATATGATTTTGTAAAATAAAAATTTAGATATTTTTATGATGGTTTAATTTATACGGTTAAAAATTAAATGGACATACATTTTTCTCATTTTTTGTTTTTTCCCCTTCCACATAAAATAACTTCATTAATTTTTTTTCTTTTATTTCATTGGATCATCATCATATTCATCTACTTTTATCTTCTTTACGCTTGTACCATCACTTCTTCTTACAATCTTGTTTCTTCCTTATTTTACAACCAGAGTAATACATGGAAACATTGTCTTATTTTTCTTTATTAATTTGTATTTCATGATTTGATTTAATGAAGTGTTTTAATATATATTAAATTACAATTGTTATTATGAATTTTTTTCTTCTATGAATGATTTTTCATCAAACTTAAGTGAAATTATCTACACTTTATGTTTGATTATTTTTTGTTCTTAGACAATATTTGTGTTTAATTTTTAAAATTTATTGTTGCAATGAAACTGTTTAATAAAATATTTTTAAGAAATATTATTATATAAATAAAATTTAATATGAGAATTTTTATGACGGTTATATTAAGAGTTGACATAATAAATACTTTAAATGACGGTTATTTAACTATCGACATTCAAAATTATACTTTTTATGTCATCAAATCTGATTCTAGAATCGATATAAAAAATTTAACATTATAAAAATTTTGTTTATACTAATGAATATTATTATATTAATATATCAAATTATTAATTAGATTTCATTAGTGAAAAAATATGATTTTACGGTGACTTTTTATGACAGTTGTAATTTACTCATCGTAATATATAGAGGCAATGACATTTTTGTAATAATATTATGAACTTTCTATGTCAATTGAAATTTAACTCACATAAAAAGTGTATATTAAATTTAAAACATTAATTATATAAATATATCAATAAATATATTTGTATTTATATATTTTGTATATAAATAAAATTTATTTGTAAGTTATTAATTAGAAAATCATAATAATTTAATGATTGGAGTATCAGTCTCCAACTTTAACGTATTTTTTCGAATCTTAAAATATAATATAAAAATATATATAATTTTTTCAGGAGTATCGTTACTCTTTTTATATTTACTTTAACATGTAACATTACATTAATCTTTAATAGTAAATAATCTTTGAATTGAAATATAGTAAATAATATATATCATTCATTAAAAATAATATAAAAAATGTAATTAAACTAGAACAATTTTATGAGTTAATTTTAACGTTTATATTCTAACAAAAATCTGTTTAGAAAAATTTTATATTTAATTTCTATATATAAAAAATTCGTCCAACTAGTAACAATTATAATAACTCAAACAAAATCATTTTTTTAATATATAAAATGGAATAGTATAACAAATCCGTAAATTTTATGTGTAATGCTAAATAAAACATGATTTTTTTTTGTGTGTGTATGTGATTAGTTCAACGTGTAGCTAATATAATATTACATGAACTTTTTATAGCAAAATAATATTATTTGAATTGAAATATTGCAGACAAGATAAAATCTCTCTTCACGATAGTTATTTTTATACATAAAATTTGAAATTAAAAGTTTTATTGAAGATTTAAATATGCATCTTCTGAAGTAATATTTATTGGTAAATAATTAAATGTGTCCACTATTTAATTTAATGTAAAGTATGCTATAATGTATTTAGTAAATTTAATTAAATATAAGTTTTATTTGATTTTAATTGATTATTTTTATAATTATAATATAATAATTTTCATTTTTATTCCTATTATATTTATTTTCGATCTTAAGATATTATTTATATCATATTAGTCTTTGTCCTTGTAAAATGATAGCGTGCGTAAACGGGATAGAAAATCAAACGTGAGATTTTAAATAATATAAACTAAAATAAATTAAAAATAAATCTAATTTAAAAAAGATAAAATGTAAAGGCTTAAAGAATAATTTAAGCTAGATTGCATGCGAAAAAATAAAACAATAAATTATTAAAAACACAAAAAGTGTGTACCAAAAATAATATAAACACCATTAATAAAAATAAAATATATAAAAAGTATAATAATTTGGTCATTTTGGCGTCATAATCAGCTTTTGTTCCCTTTCTATAAAAAAATTACACATCTCACAAATGATGAATCCACTTTATTTTTCAACCTTTTATTATCTATTTATCTTTTACCAAAATAAAGAAAAAATTTTGTTCATATTTTTTTATGTGTGCTTTCTCTCCCTTTTTCATCTTATCTCTAGTAAGTTTGAACGTGAGTATTTTTTTTAATTAAATTTATTGTTCATACCTAAAATTGAAGAGTGAGTAGGTAAAACGATAAGATTAATATAAAATAAAAAATATCAAACATTTTTATAAGGTAGAATTATAAACATAATTGACGAAATATTTATTTTTGTTTTGTCAAGATATTAACTTATTAAATATTTTGGAAACTTATTTTATCTATCTAATTTTTAGGACTGGATAGTATATTTATAAATTTAAAATCCATGTTTAAATGAAAAAAATAATTGATTTTTCTTTAGTTTTAAATCATAGGTAATCTTACATCTTCTATTTATTGGATGAAAGTACAATAGTTTGCAATTTTTTTTATTAAAGTTTACAAAGTGGTATTTTTTTAATTAAATTGGAATATTTGTAACCTAAATTATCATATTCGATAAATATTAATAATATTACGAGTTTGGACATGACTTCATAATTAAAAAAAAAAAGTCATGCCATAAAATGACTTTCAACTCTATTTCTATATATGAATAAGGTGTTTATTTCTTTTTTGAAAGATATAAGCTTAGCATTAAATGAATAATAGTAAAATATGAATAAGGTGTTTATCTCTTTTTGGAAAGATATAAGCTTAACATTAAATGAAAAATAATAGTAAAATAGCAATTATAAATAGGGCATGTGATGAAAAAAATGGGAGAAGTGGAAGGTAAAGAGAGAAAGAAGAAAGAGAGGAAAGAAAGGGAAAGGAGAGAGAAAACGAAGAGAGGGGGAGAGGGAAAGGGAAAGGAAGAAAAAGAAAGAAAATATATAAATAATTTTTATAAGATCTTAATACATCATCTTCAATTATAAAGAGAGGGATGTGATATTTATTATTCTATCTATTTTATTTTTAATTATGGTTATTGAATGATTGTAATATCATCCTATTTATTTGTTATTTATTTATTTTATCTTCGAGTTTTATTTATTTATTTTCGATTCACGTATTAATTCTATTATATTTATTTATTTTATCTTTATTTCTGCATTAGTCTTATTTTAATTATTTTCAGTTATATATTGGTCTTTTTTTATATTTATTTATTTATAGTCCTACACTGATCCTATTTTAATTATCTTTAATTATGCTAGTTATGTATTGATTATGTTTTATATTTATTTATTTCTAGTTACATATTGGTAATATTTTATTTATCTCTAATTATACACTGATCTTATTTATTTTATCTCAAGTAATGTGTTGATCCTTGTTTATTAATTTATATTTATATTATTTAACTATTTTTAAATAATAATATATATTTATGAAGATTTAATGATATTGTAGATGGAGGTTGAACTTTAGGGATTGAAATGAGAAGTTATCAATGAGAGAGTGATTAAAATTAGGTTTATTTATCCTTACAAATTTAATTTAAATCTTTATAATATGGAATAAATGAAAAATTTAATTTAAATCTTCATAATATGGAATAAATGAAATATGTTTAAGGGAGTTGAAACGTATATTTTATATATCATTATGAGATGGTATTATTTTAAATCATAATTATTCTTATTCTCTATTGTGATCTCTTGTGCATTTTATATTTAAATACAAACTTAAGTAGATGGAGACGCCAAATATCCTAAATCTCTTTTCTTCAAACATCACTGTCTTCTTTCCAGGAACTACTTGGAACACAAATGTTGAATAATTGGCAAGCGCACCAATATTATCAATCGTAATATAGTATTTCAATTAAATAAAAGTCGATCCCTCGAGGAACGGTTTCACTGGAAATTCCCAATCATAGGCTTACTAAGTGGATTAAAACAAGACTGGTTTTTTCAGAAAGATTTAGGCTGAAAATAAATGACAAAAAATTGTAAAATGTTTGTAGAAAATATCAAATAAAAGAACGTAGGATTGACTTCCTTCCTTTTCCCTCTTTTGCATAATGGCTAGGTCAAATTAAGAACATCAATTAACCTATCAATGTTGATGTCACCTGCTCAAATCATTCACTTTGATTCTTTGCATGTGAAATTCATAAGAAAACCTGATAAACATCGATTCCTCACACAGTTAACAAATTTTCTAGCATTAGGTTTAAGGTGTTAAACACTTGATACATTCATTCCATTTTTGGTAAATAATGTAGAAAATATTCTTACCTGATCTAGGGTTTAAAGATATATTTTCCAATCATATCCCAAGCATCAAGAATAAATCATTCTAAGGCACAAAATATAAGAATAACAACATTAAAAACATAGATTAATATCTCAAAATATCACCAAGATACAAAAGAGTTCAAAGGAAGTGCACCCAATCCTAAGAGAATGATGTTAACCACTCATGATGGTCATTACAAGCATCCAAATGGAGAAGAATTCAAGATGAATTGAAGATTGGACAAAAATTCGATCAGCTGTCGCGCCTTTCTACTCAAAACCCTAAAAAAACTCCTCCTTCTCAAAACACATCTGATCTATTTATAGAAAATTTTCGCGTCATTCGCTCAAGCGGATACTTTCGCTCAAGCGAATATTAATGATTCTCGCTCAAAAGAGAATTTGCTCGCTTGAGCGACTGACTTCCAGAGATGTTTAACATATTTTTGCTCAAGCGAACGTAGATGGCACTCGAGCGAATTTTCAGTTGAAAATTTTCTTCATTCTTTCAATTTTTCTTCAATTATCTTCACAATTATGATCTTTGCTCTTATATCAAGGTATTCTACCAATTCATCCTACATTAGGAGAAAAATAGATTAAAATCAATATAATTGAAGTGGTTACATAACAATTAAGAGTATAATTACATCAACTTTTACCACTTAACAACTCTTCCAACCTAGAATCTTGCTTGTCCCCAAGCAAAGTACTTTTTCCAACACAAAATCATCACCTATTATCACTTTCTCTTCTAGAACCATATCATAAAAATATCTTTTCTTCCAGATGCGATGCTCACAACTCCAAATGAAAATAAGATACATAAGCATTAAAGTTACAGAAACTAACAAAGGATAATTAATCATCAACTATCCTCAGAGAAGCATGATCTCTCAAATAGAGTGATATATAATCATCTCTAACTCTCACAGGTAAGTATTTATCTCATTCAATGACTTCATTTAGATATTCCAATATTGATAATCATCTTCAAGCAATCAACATTTATTAAGTAAGACTTAAATCAAAAGGTCTTTTGAGGCTTGTAATGAGGCTAGGCTAAGAAGGAATTCATTAGTTTTTCTGGGATATATAAAAGTATTTGAGAAATTGAAATTATATGAATGATTCTTATTTATCATTTCCTCAAAACAAATTTCAAACTTCATGCTTTTACTCTAACATAATGATAGTGAGTTAACAATCTCACCAGTTATCATTCACACCACTTTGAATTTCCTTTTCCTTTCCTCATGCTTTGCATTTATCATTTCAGCTTAGCCACAATATTTATGCTTTTCTTTTTCCTTTTGCTTTACTCAACCTTCTCTTTTTTTTTAAAGAACAATACCTGTAGGAGAAACAATAACATTCATAATAATTTCATTTCTCAAATATAGGAAGGTGGATAAACATTGTTTAGGATCAGGGGTTCTGTTTCAAGAAACAATCTTGTTTTTGGCTCAAATGGGGTTCAAATGGATTTCCTATAATTATTGCAGGGTTGACTATTTGACTCTGGCTTATATCTACTTTCACTACACAAGAAAAAATGCCTTTATCATTTCAAAGTCTTGCTAACATGCAATCACATCAAAGAATCAATCAATACCAGTTATCATCATAAAGTGTTGACACTCATTTTATCTGTTTTTTGTTCACTCCTCTCATGGGTTTCAACTAGCTTCTCCAATTCAGTTAATTCCTAGTTCTCCTTGTCAATTCCTTTTTCACTATCATACTCATCATCCCAAGATCACTTGTTATTAGAAACAATCAAAATGATTTTTTTTTCAAGTTTCAGATTTGAATTGGACAATAAGCAATAATATCATAAATGACTATAATAGAAAATGTGCGGGACAACAAATGAATTTAATCATATCAAATTAAAAACATTAACCAAATTAAGTTCCAAATGTCAATTCAAAACATTAAAAACAAAATAAATTAAAACAAAGAACTTAAAAACATCAAATTAACAAAACAAATAACTTAAACACATCAAACTAAAAAAAACATTAAAATTAAATTAAATTGTCTCCCTCTTATTCATCTTCACTTGATGATTCTTCTTCTTCTTGCTCTTCAGCCTCACCCCCTCCTTGAAAGGTTGGATTGTCCACAGGCCATT